TCTCCACAACATTACAGTCACACCACAAACACCACTACATCTTCTCAGCCAATCACACGTCACCTGTGATGGGGGGCACTCTCTCTCACCCCCACTATTACCTCATACGATGTTCACAATGTGTTGTTATAACAACCCATTTGTTTGGTCATAATTAGGCAAATATTGCATAACAGGAATAACCAGTCGATTGTCTACTGTATCGGTGCTTTACTGTACACTACTGTACACTACTGTATATTATTTAAACTATTATAACAATTGTAATAAAAATAAATCATTGTTTTTATGGTTTAATGAATTACACAAATATTTTAAGTTTTGTTATCAAATGTAAGACTAATCGTGTTTTACATATATTTAGAACTCAAAAATTGGTTCATTTCTTTGAATTTAATTTTATAGCAATTTAATGATAAAATATATTAGTTTTAAATTCAATTAACAATTTCTAAGATTTTAATTATTGCTTTAATATTGACACAAAATATAATTTAATGAACACTTGATATAAAATAGTGAACACAGTTTTGTCACTTTATTGTATAAAAATATGATACTATAATTGTAATAGTTGTAATAGTCAATTAAATTAAATAAATTCAACATAAATTCATGTAAATGGTTCAAATAAATTTTATTGACCATGATGAATTGTGGTCAAATAAAATCTAAATCTGATAAACCTAAATCATAGTTAAATACAGTATTATATTTATAAAAGTATAGACAGTAGTGAAACATTGAACGAATAATTTAATTATATTTCTCGTGTAATGTTTTTTATGGAAACTTTTCAAAGAATTGGAAAAATTTTAAAATTCTAAAAGCAATTAATGTGCGATTGGATGACATATTTGTGAAGCTTTTGTAACATTTTCTCAAACATTGTTTACAAACTTATAATTCAAGGAAATTCTATAACTTATGCAATAGTTTTGTAGTACTGTTTGCGAAAGGAAGGGAGAAAAGGGGTATTTTATTAAAGCAAGAATGAAAACACTGGAAAACTTATGTAATGTGTAGTAAAACCGCTGAATTGTGAATACATTAGATGTTTGTTTTGTTTCGAAACCTTGTGTTTGACGGCAATAGAAATCATAAAAACCCAGGAATGGATTCCCTCGAGTGATAAACTACTTGCAAAAGTGAACAACTATTTGAAACTTTCACTCATCTATAGGTACAGAGTTTGGGTATTACATGCGCCCCATTCTCTTCCTTTCCCTTCTCCTGCCCTTCACTTGTTATATAGAAATTTATTGCATAAGTAGTGGAAATTCCTTCAATTTATTTGTTTATAATCTATTTTTGTTGGTAATACACATCAACATGATGAAAAGCATAAATTATATTTAATAACATTAGATCATGCTAGATTATTTTTAAAAAATAATAATTCTTGCTGTTTCATTAACTTATTAATAATAAGTTATTTTTAGAACAGTTTATAATATGTATACAAAATATGTTTACAAACTTCAGTATTTAACTTTTAAACATTTTAATTATGATTTCTACCAAGGTTGAATTTAAAACATGATTTAATAAATTACAAATACAAAAGAATTCATTACTCGATTATCTATTCATATGAATGAAAATATTTACAATTAATGTTCAGTTAATGTATAAAAATTAATTGTCCACTGATTTGGTTCTATTGAGAAATGAGAAATGAGATGTTTTAACGATTGGTTTGTTATAATGAGTGTAGTTTTGTGTTAGAAACGTATCGTTATTCTCATTATTTAAGTCAATTTCTTCTGCAGTGAAAGAAAAAATATTTAAATTGATTTATTGATAGGAATATAAATATTAATCAATACCAATGTTATCGTCGTACCCAATGCTCGCACTTATTGTTTTAGTAGTTAATTGCATATTAGATCTGTCATTATTGTAAGTTTCGTTTGTGTTCACAATTGACTGCTTTTCATCCCTTAAGACGAAAACAATAATTATAAGCATATAATTAATAACTAATTTATGATAAAATGCAAACCATTTAGTAGTTTGAGGTGAATGTATAGAATCTGTGGTAAAGTAATGAGTGCTTTCCCTTTCCGAGTGATGACCTCTTCCAGCGTTAACTCTATTCACTGGCTCTGAAGGGTAAGAGCTTTGCGAACCCCAGTGTCTCGAAGACAAGCTATGGTCCAAAATAACATGTTTTTTGAACTGCAAATACAAAACAAAAACTCACGTAATTAAGTGCTCATTCACTCGACTGTTGATTGATTTGGAGATTGAGTTGTAGTCGAGAAGAATATTGTCTGCCATTGAGGGCACCGACAGTGACCGTGACCTCAGACTTTGAGCCGAAGGTGTTTGCACTCGAACTCTAGGTATCGACAGATGAATCTTCTGGGAGTTATTCACGTCTTCACTCTTTTTGTTGCTTACATTAAAAGAGTAACACATTTGTGGCGTTTCTTCGTATTAAATATAACATTCATTATAATCATTATAATTATTTAACATTCATTAAACGCTTATTATTACCAGTGATTGTATTGTTAGATACCTTCACGTCATTTACTCTGACAATAGGCGTACGAATGGGTTCTTCAATTTTGTGAACCCCTTTCCTCATATCGAACACAATTCTTATACTAAATATTTCTATTAAATTGTTTCGCAAAGAATCAAATATTTAAACGGTTTTGTTATTTATTATTGAGACTAAATGTTTTAGAAATCGAGTTGTTGTTCACTGTTTCACAAGTTTTGGTTTCCATAGTGTTTAAGATTGATTTCTCTATTCATTACTTTAAATGCTTTCAAAAATCAATTTTATTTACAAACATTACTTATAACACAATAAAAGCAATAAAGAAATTTTTGCAAAATGTATTCTTTGAAAAATTCTTACAATGAAATGCAATATTCTTAATCAAAATAACTAACAACAAGAGAAATACTGTAGCACTCAATCATCATGATGATTATATATTTGAAACATTAATACTCGTGTATAACATATTTGGAAAGATTTGGTGAAAGTGAGAGAATAGCGATTGAGATGTGGGTTAAGAATTGTATGTGTGCTCCGCTATAACTTTATGCACATTTACATATTAGTAATACATAATAGACTAAAATGTAGATCAATTTAATTTTTATTTATTGCTGTATAAAACAGAAAACTGAAATTACAATTCTAAAAACTAATGAATATTTAAATATTACCTCACATTTTATAATTTAAAGTTTATTTTATAAATTGCTTTTTATAAATTATAATTTATAATACAGTAATATAAACAATATACAGTAAATATAGGATAACGTCATTAAATAGAATTATTTGTTTTAAAATTCATTTTTTTCGATTCATACAATTCTTAGATTCCAATTATTTTATTAGTTTTAAGTGCATATTTCAAAAGTACTCATACAGTATACAGAATATACTTTACTTATTCATATTCTTCACTAAAAAAACATTACAAAGTTCTTTTATGGTAAACATTTTAAATTAATTATTCATGTGTTGTTAAAAAATTTACAAAAATAAGAGTATATTTATTGTTAATATCGATATAATTGACAATAACTTAAAATAGATACTAAATCTATGAATATGTTGTGCCCATAAATGATTTCCTCCCCAATCAGTGTTAATACAATTCTCTAAACTTGTAATATTCTGCTCTCATATAATTTACAAATGGACTACTGTAATTTATTTGATTTTTGTACATGTTCGATGTTCCAATAAATATAGTCAAAAATAAACCATAGCAAGTTAGTTTTTGTTCTTAATGTAAAAAACATTTTAATGTATAGCACACAACGTGTCAATGAATTTAGCGGTTCTCGAGAATAATTGTTAAGACACTAAATGTAGTATATCAGAAACTGGCATAAAAATTAAGGTCAGTGTCCGTGACTTATTGTGCTACAGGTTACAAAAATATACTCAGATCTAAAATAGAAAGTATGTAAAAGTTACATCATTTTGGACATCATATTACATGAGCAATATATGTATATTTGAGCGCGTGTCAGCTAGTGTTCCCAGAGCAATATTGCAACTTCCTTGAGAAATGTACTTTTAAGTAATATTTTCCTTAAGATTCCTTAAGATTTTATTAAAAATTCCTTGAATTTTTTCTTGATATGTTTTTAAAGCAGAAATAATAATTTAAACTATTACAGTATTACAATATATAAATTGTAATTTATATTGCATTACAAGTTCATAACTTTTAGAACACTTATTCATATTTTTAAACCAGATTACGGAGTTAATATTTTCGGGTTCGGGTTAATAATCTGCTAATTTGCTACCCATTTAAATATTATCAAGATTATTTTCATTGATATTTTATATAAAATATGCTATCTTAATTGCGTTCTAAATTCTTTGCCCATATCAAGGCGAGACCCCCGCAGAGAATCAAGAGCTACCCCTCAATTCCTGGAGACTCCTGCCATTCCGGGAGCTTCTGAAACATTAGTGTAAG